CCAGAACAATATGATTTGAGACCGTCAAAGCAAGAGACTCTGTGGGTGGTCAGGAAGGGAGGTTGCTCAGCCTAAAGGAGAAAGAACGCTGGCTTCTTGGAGCTTTAGATCAAGAATATGACAACAGAGAAGGTGTCCAGATCAAAAGAGTTCTGGAAGATCTGTTTCCCAAGCAAGCAAAGCAGGACCGAGCCTACCCCCAGCACAGATCTCAACTACCCCTGGCTTGAACGCTGACCCATTGCACGTGCTTCTGTTTACTTGCAAGGACAAAGAGATGACCGCCTTTAAGAAGTTACTCTAGTGTGCGTCAGTCTTGACATCGGGCAGGAGAAGAGAGAATGGGCAGAAACATTGCTTCCAAGCTACAATCTAAATTGATTTAAAATGATTTTATCTCTTGGCCTTCCTTAATGTAAGCCAAATCCTTTCAGTTGTTTCATGATTGTACTTTGAATTGCATTTTAACCATATTTTCCTAAGAATGAACGTTATGCAACATTGCCCCGAAAGGCATCAGGGATTTTCTTCCCTTTCCCCACATTACAGTTAAGCCATTGTGTAAAGAGCTGTTAGAATTCGAGAGACTTCCAGCTTATGATCACGTTCTACTGACAATCAGGCACAAGCCGCCTCGTAGACCATGAGTCTTGCTCACGACAAGAACTGATTGTCTCTTGTCTGGAATGTCCTCCCTTCCCCGTGATGTTCCCCTCCATCACAGCCATCCCTTGAGGCCCGGCTCCAAGCCCCAGAGCTGAGCAGAGAGAGCTCTGATCACCCATCTAGACACCTCAGCTCCCACCGACTGTGCCACTCACACTGCACTCACTTTCTGCCTTTTTTGGTAGTGATTCGTGCCTGCGCCTGACTACAATTTAAGACTGGTAGCTTCTGGCAGCTGCAGACCGTTACTCACTTTCCTTAGTGTGTATCCACCATAGTGTCCTGCTTCTGAGAAGTGCTGAATAAACGTTAACTGAGTGACTGAATAAACGCATGCGCCTCTCCCCTAAGTGAGTGGCACTCCTGTGATGGAGCTAATATTCTCTCTCTTGTCTTTGAGATTCTCCAGTCTTCCAATGAATATATACCTTCCTAGCACTGAGGAAAATGCATTTATTTTGTGCATCCAATTTTGACAGAACCAAAGTATGGGCTTATAATGTTGTAAATTTTAATCATATATTGCTAATTTCTTCTTTAAAAGAATGTTTCACGCACCAGTAAAAAAAGGGAAGAAAGCTATAGCATAGAGGTGCTCAACAAATAAGTCTTGAGTGAATGAATGAATGAGTGAGTGATAATAGGACACTGGATAAAAACGGAAACAGAAAGAGGAGTAGAAAAAAGATAGATGTGCAGCAGATTTAGAAAAGAAGTAGAAAGAAGGGGGGGGGGTAAGAGGAAAAGGAGACACAGGCTAATTAAATTCTAAATCAGCAATTCTGGTTTTAATACAAACTTGAACTTGATAATTTATCAAGTAGAGAGGTCAGGCAGTCGGGTGAGAAGAGAACAGATTTTGAAGACAGACATCTGGATTCTGACATTCACTCAGCCACTGTGTGACCTTGGACAAGTGACTCAACCTCTCTGAGCTTCACTATTTTTTTGAAACTTTATTCTGAGGTAATTTTAGATTTACAGAAAAGTCGCAAAAATAGTACAGTGATTTCCTGTATATAGTTCACCCAGATTCTCCTAATGTTAGCATCTTTCATAATCACAGTGCCATTATCCCAACCAGAAAACTAACATTGATACATTAATACTAATTAAACTACATGCCTTATTAGAATTTTACCAGTTTTCCCATTGATATTCTTTTTCTAGTCCAGGATCTAATAGGATCCTACACTGCATTTAGCTGTCTTGTCTCCTCTACTCTTTGACAGTTGCTCAGTCTTTCCTTACCTTTCATGACACTTTTGAAGAGCAGAATGTCCCCAATGTGGGGTCGTCTAATTTTTTTTTCTCATGATTAGATTTAGGTTATGCATTTATTTTTTTGGCAAGAATGCCACAGAGATGATGTCATGTCCTTCTTAGTGCATCATATCAGAAGATACTTGTCAACATGTCTTATTACTGGTCATGCTGAGCTTGAGCACTTGCTTAAGGGGATATCTAATAGGTTTCTCTACTGTTTTATTTTTTCTTTTGTAATTAATAAATATTTTGTGGAGAGATACTCTGAGATTAGGCAAATATCTCGTTTCTCATCATACTTTTGCCCAATACTTTTAGCATTCATCCGTGGTTCTGGCCTGTAACAATTTATTACTGGGGTGTCCTAGTGGGGATTTCCTACTTCCCTCATTCTTTCTACATTTATTAATTGGAATTCTTTTATAAGTAAGAGCTGTACCTTCCCCTCCCCTCCCACTGATTTATTTATTCAATTATTTATTTATATGAGTATGGATTCATGAATATTTATTTTATTCTATGGACCACAATCCAATACTATCATTATTTATTTTGCTGTTTAAGCTTCACTTTCTTCATAATGGTAAGTGCCTTACACAACTGTCAGAAGGATTAAATGGGATTAAAAAATGTGAAAATGGCCAGTCCAGAGCACCTAGTCAATAAATGCTAGCTCCTTTCCTTCCTTTTTGTTTCAGAAAGTAAAGCCATGCTAATTTGGAGGCAAGACATTCTAAATAGGTGAAAATCTGAATTTAAGAATTTTCTTGTAACGTAATGCAGCTTTTCTACCATAAGCTATGTGGAGCAGCTAGAACTTAGTTCTCCCAGCGTTACGTAGTGGAGGTCATTTGGAATCTGCCTGTAACGACTATATAAGACTGATTTTTAATCAGCATACCCATAATTTGTATGAAAATAGATGCTTGAGAATACTTGAAAACAGTCTGTTCTCTTAAGTAGTTTAAGTGTTTTCCCAGAAATCTTGTTTATGTTCTGAAGTTGCTTAGCTAAACTATTTTCAGAGACAGTCCAAAGCATGCCTCAGTCCAGCTGTGGTGCAACTCATCACTAACTCTGAATTAGTGAAATCACTGGTTCATCTTTGATTCCCAAGGTTATGGTACTGAATGGAAGAAATCCAAGTTTTCTTCCTCCAACATTAATTTACAATTAGATTTTAAAAGTTTAGGCAAGTCACTTGTAAGTTGAGGTAGAATTGAAAACAAAAACAACAACAACAAAGGATGAGGATACAGGCCTAAGGATGTGAGAGTGAGTAGATCTGGAAGTTTAGAATAATTCACCAAATACAGTAAAATCCACTAACAAAGTCACTCAGTTGACTGGAACTTTCATTTTCCACCCTGTTTTTATCAGCAAGGAAAATCAAGAACATCAGGAGATTTATTTTATAAAGCAACTTTGGGGCAGTGTAATTCACAAGCTCTCATGTGGACTCCCAGAGAGTCTGTCTTATTCAATTAGGGGTGGGGCTAGGAATCTGTATTTATCAGGTGCTACAGCCAACCCAAGCCTGAAACAGACAAGAGGCAGGGTCCTGTTCAAAGCCCAGACTCTAGGGCCTGATTGTGTGGGTTGGAATCTCACTGTTGTCATCTACCACCTACATAAACTTGCACAAATGACTTCGTCTCCTCGTGCCTCAGTTTCCCCACTGGTAAGATGGAGCCATTGACAGTCTCTGTCTCTTAGAGTTGTTGTAAGGAACAAATAAGTGGTACATGTAAAATGATTAGCATGACAGGGCCAGACGGAGATCAGCGATCCCCTGGGTAATGGATCTCCCTTTGAGGAGTGGGCTTCAGAACATGTCTAGACACAGAATTGCTTGAGCTCAGCCTCTAACGCTTTCTGCATCCACTAAGCCTCATGGTCACTGACACAGAACTATCATCAGGTTCACGACTGACAGGCTATGGAGGCTGTAAGGAGCTGCTATGGTTAGAAAGTGTTTAAGCAACAAAGGCTGATGGATCCTCTGTCAATCAGAGACATACAGGACCCAGAAGGGGAGCATCTTCTTAGCATTCCAGTAGTTTAAGAGATGACTAAAATAGAAAATTACTATATTCGTGAAGTTCAACCAACCAACAACCAACAAGCGCACAGATTGAGATGATGTGTTTTAATATTCAAGGCAAAAGAAATTAAGTCTAAATGAAATAAAACGTAGAACAGAAAACTCTGGGTGTGGGGTTGTACTATGGTGAGAAATGTTCTTTCAGCCCAAGAACACAGTATCCCCTGACCCCAGCACTGTATGGAAACCTGCCTCTCGTTCCTGTCCCTCATCCTGCTCCAGGTCACAGGCTGTCAGCCATTGGCTCTTTTCCTCCCAGCAAGGCCCGAGACCTCTCACAGTGCCTCCCTCTTAAAAGTGTTCCCAGACTCCAGTCACAACTGTCCTCTTTAGAACTGGCTTCTGGTAAGGTCTCGGAGGCCTTGGAGGAAATTTCTGGGCTGAGGATTTTGACGGGATGCAGAAAGCAGGAGCGTGGTGATTCATCATCCCTCAAGCTCACGGTCCTCCTCGCTCTCCTGACCCAGGTGTGTTGGTGTTTAGTTTTTGCCGAGAAGGCCTGATAAGGGAGGAGGGAGCGGGCTAGACAGATCCCATAGTCAGGGATCATGTTGTCAAAACTCAAAAATGAGACATCTTAATAAAAAATGAAGTCTTAAAAGCACCTGTAGGAACAAGGGGGAGAATATTTGAAAACGGGCCCAGGGAGAACATTTTGGCAAGGGAGGGGAGAAAATGCAGGGCCTGGTTGACCAAAGGGAAAAGGCTTGCGGACTTGGTAGAGATATGGGGCAGAGAAAGGATCAATTAGGCTTCAGGATAGGTTGGTGTGAAGTAAGAGGGAAGATGACAGCGTGTTGTCTATCTGCTTACTTGGAAAGAAAGCAGCCATCATGGAAGTGGCAAGACAGACAGGTAGCTGAGATATCAGGTGTCAGTAACAGACAAACCTAAAAGGAGAAATACACTTAGAAAACATTTACTAGCTTTTCAATTACAAAAACATCCCAAAGTGGCTTCTTACCTCATTAAATCTCATCAGGAGATCTTCAAGGGCATTGTGTTCTCCGTTCTGGGAGGTAAGAATTGATGCTGAGATGGACGCTTTGAGGCAGGGCAGAGACCTCTGGCATTCCGGAGTGCCCAAGTCCCGGGTCAAGAAGCAAAGATAGTCAACTGGCAAGACCCTTCGGTAAATATTCTGCTCCTGCTCCATCAGGATGCTGGCGACCTCTTCTGGGAACTGGATGAGGGGCTGCAGATCAATCAGTTCCTTGCTGATCCCAGCGGAACTTGAAGGGAGGGCACTGGAATTGGCCATAGAGGTGCCCGGTTGGCGTTCTGAAATAAAGAAACAAAAGCCATGGTTACACCAAGGTTGGGATCCTCTACAACAGATGTTTACTTGGGAGCCATTCAGAATCTGACAGGTTTCTTAACCAAAGTTTTTGCTTGCTGAATAGTTCTATATCATCTTCCTCGTTATGGAAACCTTTCTGCTGTCTATCCTGTCTCCCCGTTCCTGCCCCCCAGGGGGTGGGGGAAGTCTTAGTTTCCCATTTTCAGAAGCAGAATTGACACTGCAGAGTAGTAGAAAAGTAAAATGTACCCTTTGCTTCCTCATCCTACAGTGCTAAGCATCAGAGTGAAAAGAAATGCAGGAAGGGGTGGGCACAGCAATTGGAATGGAAGAGGAAAGAAGGCTGTGGGCGGGCATGCACTTGTATAGGCACATTGTTTGTACACATGCAGGAGACGCAGGGAGCCTCTGCATACAAGGGTTCAAAACTGCATGGTCTACTCGCCAACACTCCACCCTCCAAGACTCTGATTCCCCTGAGACCCATGTGCAGGTCTGCAGGGACAGACCCACCTATAAAAGTAAGGAAGGAATAGGTCATAAGGAGATGAATCCAAATAAATAAATAAATAAATCTTATTCCCTGCTCCACAACTGGCAGTACGAAGGTGGCAGTGGGAGAGAAAGTGGTGAGTGCGTTAGCTAGAAGTACCAAGTGCATTCGTAGGCTCAAAATTATTCCCTTAGCTCAGATTCTCTTTATTTTGACTACTCCTCCCCAATCTGTCTCTTAACTTCCTGACTTTAACTCATTCGTTCATTCATGTATCTACTTAACCATTCATCCAACCATTCACTCAAAAAACTTTGAAAATATATGATGAACCCTAGAAAAGAATTTCCCAAAGTGTGATCACTTTTGTGGCCAGCTCAGTTGGGGAAATGTTACATACTCATGTTACAAATTCTCTTCCTGAGAAGACATTATGCACACGGGTACACCGTAAAGGCTCTAAGGGGTCTTACAATAAAGAAATCCATTTACATTACTTAACCCAGTGTTTCTCCAGAGTCATACTTTATACAACACCTACTACACCATTCTGTGTGACCAGTGGAACCACTTCAGGAAATGCTGTTTTGAGGGTCAAACTGCTTTTGCTCTCCATCCAATTCACATCTTTTCCTTCCCAGCCATCCCTCCGTGGCCAGCCCTCCTTCACACTTCTCATAGTGCTTCCTGAGGGCACCACATTCTATTTTTCCAGAATTTTTCTTACATTTCTGATTTCTTAAAACACCCTTACCGACCCTTTGGCAGAATAAAACCCATGTGTCTTCTGACAACACCGTATTCCTCACCACTCAGTGTCATCTGGCCTGGACACTGGACAATAGCAAAGTTCATAAGGAAGACTTCCTCAACCTTCAGACCTTAGTATTCTTGACTCTTTTTTGTCTCTATTGGAGAAAAGTTTGGAATCATCACTCCAAGTGCTGTCTCTGTATTATTGAACTCTGAAGTCATCATCTCTGAGTTTGACCTCCTTTTCCCTTCTACTCTTTGTACTAAACGTTTTCTGTCCTTCCACACTTCCAGTTCCTCGCTCTGGGTGCATGGTCAGCATTTTTTTTTTTTTTTTTTGAGGAAGATTAGCCCTGAGCTAACATCTGCTGCCAATCCTCTTTTTGCTGAGGAAGACTGGCCCTGAGCTAACATCTGTGCCCATCTTCCTCCACTTTATACGTGGGACGACTACCACAGCATGGCTTGCCGAGCGGTGCCATGTCCGTACCCGGGATCTGAACCAGTGAACCCCAGGCTGCCGAAGTGGAACATGCAAACTTAACCGCTGCGTCACTGGGCCAGCCCCAAGGTCAGCATTTTAACATGGCACCCACCAACACTCAGGATTCCCTCACAAGTCACCTTGGCATGCACCAGCTGCCCTTCCCAATTGTCAAACCCAGGCAACTCAGCCATCCATCCTTGGCTTCCGGGCCACTATATATATGATGACACTGACAACTATGCTACTTAGTGATGGGACCCTTGCTAATTTGTGTTATCTAACTTCAGCTAGGCCCTCAGGGTGACGTCAAACTTAACATGAATTTATTTATTTTTCCCTAAATAACTCACCGTCTTCTTTACCTCAGCAATGTAGCTTTTCTATTCTTCTCACACACCCAAACCCACTTCTATTTTCCTTACATTTGTTTGGTCATTTCTTAACTTACTACACTGTGGTAATTGCCAAGTGTCAGGAACTCCTTCAATTAGTTCAAATGCTTCTATTTCTTCCATCTTCTCCTCCTTCTCTGAGAATGGTGTGTGCTTTCTCCTCTCCAAGGCCCCCCTAGGTTTGCGATGAAGTCTATTCAATCTGCCTCATGGTTATCTCTGCCTTCAGTCCCTTTCTTTCCACTGACTTTTCTTTGCATACATAAATGTTCAGTTTCCTTTATCCTTAAAACAAATCAATAAAACTTCCCTGCTCCCTTAAACTCCAGATCCTCTCTGCCGTCCCTTCATTGTGTACCTTCTCTAAAGGGTAGTCTACATTCCCTGATTCCTTCCTCTGTAAGCATGGTGACCAGATCTTCTGACCCAAAAATCAGGCCACACAGCCTGTCCAAATTAATAAACCACTAAAGGTGTGGAAGAGAAAAACAGAAACCAGGTCCTGGGGGCTCCTAGTGCTTAGGTCAGCAAGTTGACGCGGCATCTCTATTGATGATCTGGGCTCTGATGTTCTTCTCTCAACTCATCCTCTTCTAAGCAGCCCACCTTGGAAGCCTAGCTCAGGAAAGGTTCTCGGTGGCATTTCCTATTTAATTAAGTGAGTTGCTCCCCTTTTGGAGAAATGCTTTCAGTGACAATCTAAAAAAACACAGTGAGGAGAAAGCTTTCAAGTTTGAGCTACACTGCTCTCCACTGATGCAGCCTGGATTTGTTTTAAATAGATTCTAATAGGGACTTTTTGTCTTCCATATAAAAACCGCAGTATCCAAATAGTCATTTCTCTTTGATTCTAAAAGGCGAGCAGGTGAGTAAGGAGTACAATGATTTATTCTAACCATTTTTACCCATCTTTTAGACCAAACAAACTACCAAAAATTGACGGCAGCAAAAAATGAAGACTACCAAATTATATTTGGTTCTCTCTAAGCTCATATTTGAAAATAATTAAAATAAGGCAGGTGCTCAACTGTAGCCTGCACGACCTCACTCTCCAAATTGCTGAATAGTTTAGAAAGAGACTGGATTTCCTGAAAATTGAGTCAGAACGTGGCCTGATGACAGAGGCAGTTTTTGGATACTGATAACTTATGTACAGTGGAATTAGCCATATATAGAAAGTCTTCCCAGAAGTAACCAACTCTAACACATGATTTCAAAGTACAGCTCTCTGTGAAGGAAATAAAGGCAATTCCCAAATCTTCTGAAACCACTTATCTAAAATGTTGAGATAACATAATACAATATGCAAATAGCATAAGGTAAGATGATATATTGTAAACTTGAGGTATGAATCACATGCTATTACAATGAATGAAGAGTCTAGTGACTGGTGGGAAATAGCAATAAAGGAGACAAAAAAATTGAATAAAAGAAGAAAAAGAAGCCTGGTCAGTGTAACCCTAACAAATGTAGTGGCCCCATGTGTCTCAGTACAAGAGTGACATCACACTCCAAGGAAACACAAATCCGATGTTAGAAACCTTGAAACATAATGCAGACTTTCAGTGTAGGTTTCCTTAAAGCAGGATTATTTAGGGATTTTATATCATGCACCACGAAGAAATATTCCAGAAATTTTCTTGGGACATAATTTTCTGTCCCCCAAATTCCACACTTTTAGCAGTTCTTAAAAATAATTCCCCCTTTCTCTCATTCTGGTTGAACTCTCTTTATCATCTCCTCCTTCCCTTCCCAGGCCACAGTGCCCCAAACTCAGCTGTAAGTCACCAACACATCTTCCTGTCTGCAACATGGGCAACTCGACGGCGGATTAAAGAGCCAGGAACTCTGTGACCTCTGATCCTTCCTCATTATTTGTGGAGCAAAGTTCCCAGAAAACCCACTGGAAACTGTAATTCTTCTCTTGTGAAAAAATTTTTAGAAAGTTTCTGGTGAATAAAATTACTCACCTCACTTACAGTCAATGTCTGCTCTCAGCCCCACGTTCTTCAGTTAATAATTATTCTACAGTAGAACAGGGCTGTATCTCCAGACATGATCACAGCCTAGAAATAGTGACCATGAGACACACTATTTTCAAGGTCCGATGTCCTGCTCAAGCAGTAGCTTCCTGTACTGAGTGCTGTATATGGATTAATTCAGGAGGCAGATAGTATTATGTGAGGCTCACATAAGGTCACGTAAATAGTAAGCCAGGGAGCTGGGATTTGAATCAGAGTCTATTTGACTCCAGAGCTCACGCTTCTGATCACTCAGTGTATTGCCTCATATAGCAACAGAATGGCACATGGGCATTCTGGATTTTAGATGCATCTCAAGTGATTTTAGTTAGTATAAATCAACTTCTTCTGCTTGTTTACATGGAGTGGGCTGATAAAATGAACTCTTCAAACTCCACAGTTAAGGATTTGACCCCAGAGGGTGGACAGTTCCCCTCCTTGGGCAGCCGGGAACCATCACATCAACCACTACATTACAACTACATTAGAATGTAGTGCACAGAAACTTAAAAGTTCCCTCTCTTTTCTTTCTTACCAGTTCATAAGAATGTTCTCAAGCTTTAAACAAGTATTTTCCAAAGGGTATTACACTAAATTTATGCAAAACACATTTCCTTGGTTAATAATTTAGAGACATATTGGGTTAAACAAAGTTAACAAACTTTTTTTAAAAAAATTTTAACTGCAGGACTTCTCAGAGCCTTTAGTAATTCCCACTAGGGGACTATATTATCACAACACACAGCAGCTTTCCTCAACCTCGTTGTCTGTCTCTATATCACTTACCTGGGAATTACAGTCCCTTCAAAACTTTTCTCATCACGCTCAGTGGTTC